CAGCAGGAGGCACAGCATCTGTTCCATAATGGCACCAGTTAAAGAATGAGCAGCACTGTAACCATGTTCAGCCTCAGTCAGGTGGTTGTGTAATAAGGTCATCAGACATGGCTTCAAAAGGCAGCCCTGGTCTCCCAGTAACCATCTTTGTAAGGTTTCTGGCTTTTGATGATTTACATCTGTACAGTGAGACATGGAGGACTCTGTTAAGGAGGGTTAAGAATGCATCCATATAAACCTGTGACACTGGGATCTCATTCTGATGAGTACAGCCCAAGCCACGCTGTGCAAATACAGTAGAAGATCATAAGTGCTGTCTGATGACTAATACCCTGTCCCTCTCCGTCCCCACACTAAGCAAGAAAGGCATTGCATACAAAAGGTTGTTGGCGAATACTGTATTGTTCAAGGTGAGACAAAATCTGTGCCATGTCCTTGTGCAGCATATGAGATGTGAGATTTTCTTTGTGAATTGTGGTCCACTAGTCACACGCTAAAGATCATTTGTAATTACTTCTGCTTTACAGGGATGACTATTTTCAATCTGTAATGAGCAATGACATGAGTACAATTGCTCATGATCAGGATTTGCACCCCATTCAGTTGAAAGTTGCATGTATATTCACATACGGTGTACCATGATTACAGATGACTTTAACCTGTTCTGTGAAAGTGCCTGATTAATAATAATTACCCTTTGAAGGGCCCTCACATTGTTTATAAATTGAATCCATTTGTTCAAGCAGAAGAAAAACACTCACTCAGTTCACTCTGGGTGTGGTTGTAGCCATTTTCTGTATCTATTGAGTAGTTCCAATTTGCATGAGTATGGAAGACAATGCAGGTCATGCTTGGGACAATTGTCAGTGGGTGGTAAGCACAAGCTCAACCTGGTAATCAAGCCCTCTGCCACCCCCACTGTGAACATCCATATTCCTTCCTTTCTCTCACTCCCAGTTGAGTTCAACTGCACTGACCTTCCACACATCACCATGCACTTTTTTTGATATGCAACTTCATCCCCCAGAATTATCGCCTGAGCCAAGCCCTCCAGCTTGGTCGTAACAACCATCATGCTGCACTTAAACCCACCCACTGCGAACGGGTTAAGTTTGTGATCTTTTAGGGCAGTTACCTCCTGCCATAACCCATGTTGTATCTCTTGCTACTGTCTCCCTCCTTGTGTCACGTAAGCCCAAAAGACTGAAAAAAATTATTTCCATTTACCCTTATACCAGTTTAAATTTGCAAACTGCTCACTTATCCTGCACCGGCAATGTGCAGATTTCTGTCAAAGGGTAAGAGGAAATGGAAAACTGGTAGACGCTGAAATTGTCAAAGCAAAACAAAATGCCAAATTATTGAGACAATCTGTTGAAATTCTGTATTTTTTGCAACACGGATTTTTTTTTAACAACGAAGAAACACTCGGGCCAGTGAGAGAAGTAAAAGATAACATCAGAGCATTGTGGTTGACCTTCTGAATTACTAAGCAATCTGTTCCTTTATGGACACCCTGCCTCACATCTTGCTATAAGATTTTCACAACTTAAAATTGTTGACCAACAAATGGACACGAAATAAAATCAGTGTGTACAATATGCTGGCCTTTATTCCCCCACTCATAATTATTCCAAACGACTCTGTGGAGAATGCAATCACAACAAACAAAAGCATGAGTTTTCCAAGAGCCCTAATCACAGAAACATTACAATTTAACAGCCTAATTTTGTTCATAAATATTTCAATATGAACAAATAATTGAAGTTCTGAAAGAAACATAACTTTATACTAGGTACCTTACACAACAAGTGTTATTGTTCATTGAGGAATTTAGCAATGGACCGGATTTAATGGAGGTATTGGAGATTTCTGCTGGCAACAGGCAAGCCAATGGGAGGACCGAGCCATATCTTTTTGGTAAGGACCACTGAATTAAATACCAATCAGGCATCTGACAGGCTGAAGATACTATGCGGGTCATGGGAACACAATATTAAGGTTGTTGAGTTTCAAATTTGTCCAAAATGAACAAAATACAAGGCAGAGATAATAAGGTGTAGAGCTGGATGAACACAGTAGGCCAAGCAGCATCAGAGGAGCAGGAAAGCTGAAGTTTTGGGTCTGGACCTTTCTTCAGAAATGGGGGAGGGGAAGGGGATTCTGAAATAAATAGAGAGAG